CTAAGCATGGTTTCGGGTTCCACAACGGTTCCCGGGGCGAAATTATGTGATAAGAGTCAGTGGGGGGTAGGTGGGGGGTGGGGACCCGCCACCTACCCACGGCCGGAAATAGTATATCCGGCAGCGGGCAGCCGGCGGGCGGGCAGCTACCCGCCGGCGACCCGCTGCCCGGAACAGTGAGTCCGGCGGGCAGCCGGCGGGTGGCCCCCCACCCACCGGCTACCCGCTGGAAATTTCCCCAACTTGGGATCCCGGCTTCCCCGTTTGATGTTCCCCGTTCCCCGTGGTGTCCCAACGGACCCCGTTTGTCGTGCCTATGTCTAGTTTGATATTTCGGGTACCGTTCGTAGGTTTATGAGTCTATTATATTGCATGCTAGTTGAATTGGTATCCCGTTGACCTAGGTGGAAGAAGTATGAACCCCTTAGGACTATTCTTAGTACGTGATGGATCACGCATAGGGTTGTTATACGCTTTATCCCCCTTCTCAATGTGTAATGTGGGTTGCATGTGCTTGCTATGTGTTATGTGTGCGTGTTGCACCAATTCGGTTGCGATCGGATTGGTTATCCTGAGCTGCGGTTCAGAAGCCGGGTACAGTCAGATGGGAATTCCTGGCTGTAGTCGGATGACGGTATCCTGGGCTGCGGTCCAGAAGCTGGTTGTAGTCAGATGGGAATTCCTGGCTGCAACCAGATGACATTTTCCTGAGCTGCGGTTCAGAGGCTGGCTGTAGTCAGATGGGAATTCCTGGCTACAGTCAGATGACACATTCTCTTGGGCTGCGGTCCACTGTTTGGTTGTGATCAAACATTATGATGAGCTGCGGTTCGTCGGTCGGTTGCGATCGGCCTCCCCGTGTTGCGATACGGGGCATGGTGCTGTGGGGCCGTGTCAGAGCTATATGCGCTGACCCGCATGTATGGGCATGCGAGTGGTCCCGTGGCGCCAACAACGTGCGTTATGTGTTGTGACATGGACGAGTTGTGATTATGGGTGTCTTGGGGGATGTGACTATGGGATTTGTATTGGGGATTGTTCATGTTGGGTTATGATCATTGTTTATGCTCTGCCTCATCTGCCTTATCTGTTGTGAACTGCATATGCTCGTTATAACTGTTGCTTGTGTCTGACCTTATCTGCCGAGTCATTCCCGGTTTTAAAACTAGAGTTCGTAGGATATATCTTCATGCTCAAAATGGTTTTCGTATATCTATATATATCTCTATATGTATTGTATTTCAACGCGTTGGAGTGGGTTACCAGCATCTCTCGCTGAACAGATATATTTGGCTTTCAGGCATAGAAGATTAAGTCACTGGAGTGCGCTAGAACTTAGAAGTAGATAGTTTCCCTTTTGGCCTGCGTGCCACGTTTACGTATTTACGCTTTGAGGATATTAGTTAGTTAGCCTGTGCACTTGGGTTCTCTAGCCCAGGTGTGGCATAGCACCCCGAACGCTTGTATTTATATCTTGAAATTTAATAAGATTCTACCTTTATTATAAGTTTTAAATGTCTCGAAAATCTGGGGTGTTACAGTGGGTGAGTCTTATTCCTTTGAGTTATGTATGTCGGGTTTTGATCTATTGTGTGATGATAGATCATACCTTGAGACTTCTTGTGAGTCGTGTTGTTCTTTGTGGTCTTGGGATGTGTTCCCGTGTTCTTGTTGAGAGTGTTGAGTCTTGTGTTGACTATTACTCTTGGTTTTGTACTTATATACTTATGTATTTCTGTTTCGAAAATGGCTTTACAACTTATATCTTATCTATGTATGATATTTCACATGTATTGGTGGATTACCAGCATTATTCGCTGACCGGGCGTCGTCCCATGTTTTACTGTGTTCTTTCAGGTGATGTCTAGACGAGTGCGCGGTCTAGTGCTTGCTAGTATAGCTTCTCCCTTTCGTTTTGTGGCCTGTGTGCCAGCTTAGATATAGAACTCTGAGACAATGGGTTTAGATGTAAACATTGCAGATGTTGCCGATGCATTCATCCTTTTGGTGAACGTGGCATAACATCCCGTGTTCCGGATTATGTCTATCTATCTATCTTTCAGTCTTCCGCTGTGTTTGTTGTTTAGTTCAGTTATCTGCATGTTTAAGGCTTTTAAATAGCATGTTTTTAACGGGTGTTACATATCTAATTCGGATCCTTAAGAGCTTCGTCCACTTCTTTTGGTTCAATTTGAGATAGATAGCACGTGAACAATGCTTCCATAGTAGAGGATCTTGTTTTCACGCCTTCACGTACATTCCCAATAATTAATTCTAGAGGGTGATTTTTGAGCCATCTTAAATCTGGTTCAAATGGGTGCATGGTACTGGGTGGATCCATTTGTTGTGAACTGGCACTGTTGGTTCGAATTTCCTCATTTAATTCTTCTTGAACTGGTTCAAATTTCCTCATTTAATTCTTCTTGAACTTCACCACCAACTTCACCTGTAACTTGATCACAAACTGGATTACCAACTTCAACTCGTACTGCATCTCCATTCTCACGTGTACCTTCACCTCCAAAATTATTATTAAATGGGTTTCCAACTTCTTCTAGATGAGGGATGGGATTTTCTAGAGAATTAATTTCCAACTCATCCATTCCCTGCAAAACATCATCTATACACATCATTATTATCACAAAAGTCAATATGACACTTGTTACCATTTTGTGCAATTTCTTCACCCAGTGTGTCATTGACTCGTGATTTTTCATCGAATATAACGTGTATGGATTCTTCAACCACCATTGTTCTTTTATTCAATACTCTGAACGCCTTGCCGGTAGTTGAATATCCTAGATTATAAATCAGGAACTTTAAAAAGTTTTCTTTGAATTTTTTTTTTTTAAACAAATTTAGGGTAAGTTTTTTTTTTCGTTTAGTTAATCTTCATTTGATTATTTAGAACAAAACTTAATATTTCAATTATGCTTTTGCATTATTGGAATGATTTAGGTCATTATGGTATTCATATTTCTTGTATTTTTTTTATAATGGTACAATTGTACATTACTTTACAAATATTATACTATTATTTTTTTTATCGGACAAAATTGTGCTTACATCATTGTCAGACCTGCGGGCCTAACTACAAAGTTGGTGATCACAAATACAATTACACATGACTCTAAAACAGTAGGACCATTTTCCAAATAATTGACAATGTTAATATCCTACTAGCTCTAATTGAACACAATGCATGAAAATTTCTAAAGAAATTTGTAAGTTAATTTTTTCTATATCATTATAACAATATATATTGTAACCATATATTTTAAATTATTTATTCTCATCCCCTGTTGACAACAATTGTAGCAATTGTCATTGACAAACTCTCAAAATAATTTGTCTCAACAAGGAATAGAAATTTAAAAAAAAAAAATCATTGATTTCATTATTGTTGATGAAAAGTTTGTATGACACTTTATTACTCTTATAAAATTAAATAAATTAATAGCTACAACAAAAAATAATACATATGCATTTAATTATTTAGAAGTAGATGTCTATAATAATGCTTTACTTTTTTAAAAAAAATATTCATTATAAAAAAAATTTAAAAGAAATATAATTTCATTAGTTATATTACCTTATTTTATACATATAATTCAAAGATTCAATACTTTTAAATTTATTAATTTATTATATTCACGACATTGGCCATTATCTTCTTTTTACATTATCTTGTAATTAAATATCAAAGTTAATACCATTCCACTCAAATAATTTATCTTTTCAAAAAAAAAAAATGCTCCGCAACTCTCGCACTCTTTCGACGATCTCCGCAACCACTCTCCGATCGTGATCTGTCGATCATGTTATCGTCGATTGTTCTTTCGATCGTGTTTGTCTAAATCGTGGTCCCCTCTCTTAGCGTTTCGCTGAGGGAGTGTCTCCCTAGTGTTCTAGGGTCCTTATTTATTCTGTGTTTGTTTCGATGGATCTATCCAGAAATTTTCATATCATATTGTTACTGATTTTTGTTGCTTTTCCGTGTACCATCATGGATATACGCAAAATCGAGGATCGCTGTGCGGCATTGCATCTGGCCGAGGAGGACGATACTGGTCTGGAAGCCCCTGATGTCCAGGATTGTACTGAGGTGCCGGTTCTCCATGATCTCGTCGGCCGTTTTCTAACGGATCGTCCGATCAAATTCGAATACATGCAGCAAATTATGGCCTCAGTCTGGAGGCCTGTGATGGGAATGCAGGTGACGCCTCTGACGGATGAGCTTTTTATGTTTCAATTCCCCCACCTGAAGGATTTGAACAGGGTCATTGAAGATGGACCATGGACGTTCGAAAACAGCACGCTGATTTGTGAGAAGGTCCCAACGGGTGTCAAGCCGGAAGACGTTGCCTTGGATTCGGTTTCCTTTTGGATTCAAATCCATGGATTACCAGCTGTGTTTGCGACCACGGAATTCTTAACCAGGATCGGCAATTACGTGGGATCGTTCATAGCAATTGATCCCAGAAACTTTGGTGGTGCATGGCGGAGTTTTTTTCGAATTAGAGTGAAGATGCAGATTGATTCCCCTCTCAAACGCAGGATGAAATTACTGCGCAAGGACGGTACTGCTCAGTGGATCGCATTCCGCTACAAACGCCTGAGTACTTTCTGCTTCTGCTGCGGTGTATTAGGCCACTCGACAAATTCTGCAAGCGGGTGTACGAAGAGGGTACTGCACCAGAGGATTTCCCGTTCGGGTCTTGGATGAAGGCGGGAGCAAGACGCCAAGTCCGGCCAGTGGGAGCCAAGTGGCTATTATCCACTCAGTTAAAAATGACGGCGGATTCCAGTGTTCCAAACGCCGGACCATCTCCGAGTACGACACTGGCTATGGAGGAAATTAGTGGCATGCAGGGCGACTTAAAGCGTCGCAGAGAGGACGTTGGGGAATCGGGAGAATTAGAGAATGGCGATGTGGCGATGACGGAAACTCATGCAAACCTGCTAATGGCGGGCCTGGAGGGTCAGGCTCTCCGTGATCAATGAGTATTATAAGCTGGAACTGCCGGGGATTGGGCGGCACCCGGTCGGTTCGAGAACTTGTGGGCATGGTGTCCAAACAGCGGCCCGTTTTCGTTTTCTTGATGGAAACGAAAGCAAAAAGCAGCAAGATTGAGGAGGTTCGTATAAAATTGGGTTTTGAAGGAGCGTTTGGGATGGATCGTGTGGGTCTAGGAGGTGGGTTGGCGTTACTCTGGCGTGACGCTGACACGGTTACGTTACTAAGTTATTCAGTACACCATATCGACGTGATGATTGATATACCGGGAAAGCAGAGATGGAGACTAACGGGTTTCTATGGACATCCGGACAGGTTTCACCGACATGAGACGTGGGACTTGTTGCGGCAGCTTCATGATCAATACACTCTCCCATGGCTGGTCGTGGGAGATTTTAACGACATAGCAAGTTTAGCAGAGAAGAAAGGCATACATACACATCCAGAATTGCTTATTGAGGGATTCAACGATGCTTTAGGTGATTGCCACCAAAATGACTTAGGGATGGTGGGAGGCAGGTTCACGTGGGAGCGTGGACACGGAGCGGACGAGTGGATGGAGGAGCGACTGGACAGAGCAGTAGCAACGGTGGAGTGGACTGACATGTTTGAGGATGTGTTGGTTCGGAATCTACATACCTTGTCGTCTGACCACAATGCCATTTTTGTGGATGTGAATCCCAGGCTGATACGCACGGCCTTACGCAAATTTAAGTTTGAAGCAGCCTGGCTTCTTGAGGAGGGTTGCGCCAAAGTGGTCGAGGAGGCATGGCGTAAATCTACGGGATTGGCATTCCAGGATCGGATCGGCATTTGCGGTTAACAACTCTGGCGTTGGGGCGGGGAACACTACAGATTCTTTGGTAATCGGATCCGTGTGTTACGGAACAGAATCGAAGAGCTACAGGAAAATCGAGACACACAGGCAGTGCACGAGTATATATCTCTCCGGGAGGAACTGGAAATTTTGTTAAAGCAAGAGGAAATATTTTTGCGACAGCGAGCAAAGCAATTGTGGCAAAAGCACGGTGACGCCAACACCAAGTATTTTCACAAAGCCGCCACAATCCGTCACAAAAATAATTATCTGCAACGCATCAAAGGCCATGATGATTGTTGGTTAGAAGGAGCTGCCATGCACACCGAAATTCTGAGGTATTATGATTGCATTTTTCGATCCAGTAATAATAATTCAGACATCTTTCATCGCATTCAGAAACGGGTAACGGCCGAGATGAACATCTCCCTGTTACAACCGTTTACGATGGCAGAGGTGAAAACGGCTCTGTTTTCTATGGCCCCGGACAAGGCGCCTGGCCCTAACGGCATGTCCCCGGCTTTTTACCAACATTTTTGGCCGTTACTGGGACATGATTTGTCAGTTTTTATTCTTAATTGTATATCAAACAGAGCTTTTCCCCCGAATTTTAATACTGCTAATATTGTTCTTCTCCCCAAGAAACAAATCCCGGAGAAAGTATCTGATTTGCACCCGATTGCACTTTGTAATGTGTTGTACAAAGTGTTAGCCAAAATGTTGGCTAATCGACTAAAAGGGACTTTGGAGACAGTGGTTTCACAATCCCAAAGTGCCTTTGTCCCGGAGCGGCTTTTAACAGACAATATTATTATAGCTGGGGAGGTTGGTCATTACCTTAGACGGAAAACTTGTGGGGCTTTGGGATGGACGGCGTTAAAGCTGGACATGGCGAAGGCCTACGACAGGATGGAATGGGGTTTCTTGACTGGGATGTTAAGTGCTTTGGGCTACGAGCGTGAGTGGACACAATTGTTAATGCTCTGTGTCTCGACAGTTAATTACACAATTCTTGTTAATGGTGACGGTATTAGGACGGTTTGTCCTACGAGGGGGATAAGACAGGGTGACCCGCTATCCCCGTACCTATTTATTCTTTGTGCAGAGGGTTGTCGGTCCTTTTACAGCAGGCCGAAGCTCGGGGTGACATTCACGAGGTTCGGGGGGCCCTGGCAGTCACCCACCTATTTTTTGCTGACGACAGTCTTCTCTTTTTCAGGGCAGTACAAAACGAAGCAAGAAAAATCAAAGAATGTCTGGATATGTATAGTGCAGCATCGGGCCAGTTAATTAATTTTGATAAGTCAAATGCAATTTTTAGTCTCAATACTCCTCCAGCTATACGTGAGCACATCGCGGGGTGTATTGGTGTTCAGATTGCGGATGACTTGGGCAAGTATTTGGGTCTCCCTTCGGTGATGGGGCGCAATAAGACATCCACCTTTAATTATATCGAAGATAAAATACGTGGCCGCATTGGAATGTGGCAACATAAGCTTCTATCTCGAGCAGGTAAAGAGGTTCTGATTAAAAGTATAGCACAGTCCTTACCCATATTTACCATGTCCACATTCCTCCTACCTAGGAGGACTTGTGATACAATTGAGAAATGCCTTAATCGGTATTGGTGGGGAGGTGGGGGTACAGGTAATCGAGGAATTCACTAGTTGAGCTGGTCTAGACTATGCGCACCGAAAGCGTTTGGTGGGTTGGGATTTAAAAAGATGCATGAATTTAATCTTGCTTTGCTTGCAAAGCAGGGGTGGCGTCTTCTCATTCATCCCGAGTCTCTGGTTACTAGGATTCTAAAAGCAAAATATTTTCCAGGTACTGATTTTTTGAATGCCCGTGTGGGGAACAATCCTAGTTTTCTATGGCGGAGCATTATAGCAGGACAGAGTATTCTGAAGATGGGAGTTGCTCGCCGGGTTGGAGATGGGTCCGACACTAAGATTTGGGGTTGGGGTTGGTTATCGGACAACTCTAATCCACACTTACACACGCCTTGCATTGATGAAATAAAAGACGCGACTGTAAATGGCCTATTAAATGCTGAAGGAAACTGGGACAGAGATATTATCCGTGCCATTTTTGTGGATGATGATGTTCAAAGAATTTTGGCAACACCCGTCAACTGTTCATTCAAAGACTCTTGGCGATGGGTTGGGGACATAAGGGGTAACTACACGGCAAAGCATGGCTATCGTAAGCTCATGGACAATCAAGGTCATAATATTGCAGGAGAGGGTTTCCAGTCTTGGAAGACACTTTGGGCGCTACCAGTACCACCGAAGATAAAAAAAAAAATTTTATGGCGTTGTGCTCGGGAGGTGCTTCCAGTCCGCGAGAATCTAAAGATGAAACACGTGTGGCTAGGCGGGTTGTCCTTTGTGCGGTTTTGCGGCCGAAACAACAGAACATCTCTTTGGTGAATGTTGGTACGCAGCGGACCTATGGGGACACCGCGATTTCTTGCGAGGCCAATCATTACCACTGGTCATGGACGCCATACTGGGGGGCTCGGACAAGGATTCGGCTTTGCTGATGGCAGCCATCATGGATGTACTATGGTCTACGAGGAACGCACTTGTTTGGCGTAACTCTCAGCCGATTATTGCTAACATGCGCGATCAGATACACAAACTTCGATCCATTTGGCAGGATGGTTATGGTAAGGTTCTTCGTGCAGGAGACGGCAGGGTAACGAATCAATGGAATCCACCACCACGAGGGAGTTTGAAGTGCAATGTTGACGCTGCGGTTTTCGCAAATGGAATAGGATATGGTGCAGTTCTACGGGACCATGCTGGTACGTTTGTAGCGGCAAAAGGTGGATACAATGCTGGTATGCGTGATTCTTTCATGGCGGAGGCGATCGCAGTGAGGGAGGCGCTTTCATGGATAAAAGGATCGCAATATAATAATGTCATTGTTGAGACAGACTGTTTAAATTTCTGCAATGCTTTCAATTCGTGTTTATCTGATTATTCGTATACAGGTTTGATAGTTAAGCAATGTCGTTCCATTGCGAATGATATTGGGGACGTCTGTGTCCGCCATGTCATGAGATCAGCGAACCGAGTGGCTCATGAATTAGCACGGGCAACTGGTTCTTCGGCTGTCTCGGGAGAGTGGGCTGTTATCCCGCCTACATGTATCTCCGGATTTCTGAGTTATTAATGGAAGTTTTCTCATTTTTGTTCAAAAAAAAATATAAAAGTTATAATACAAAACATGTTATATATATTTATTTACCAAGTATTTTATACAAATATAATAAATATTAATATTTTTTTCAATACTTTCACAAGATAACCTACAACGCACATCTCACAACACATGAAACATGTAGGGAAAAACTACCACTACTAAATATCAATAGGTGTTTGTAAGATAAAGAGTTCATATTACAACTAAAATCTCAGTTATATACACAGCAAGGCAAATCTAAAGCTTCCTACACCATAATCTCATTGCATGATGAATCCCTCTACGCGGCCACAAGTAACCTAATTGCACATGACACACTACCAATAAAAAAAATAATAATAAAAAGGACATGTACTGAATATGAAAACAATGACAATGCTACCCAACAGAGAATCAAGAAGAATTCTAGAAATTTAAACCAAAAGTAGTATTTATTTAGACTATCGCTTTAATACTAAGTATTTAGACTAGCGTTATTACAAAGTTGCAAACATTTATTTTAGTGACAATTATAATCAATCTCTCATATATTATTTTGAATTTATATACTTTAAATTACCGATTTAAATAAGCAAATTCAGCATTTATTTACCTATGCATAAACACCTCCTATATAATATTGCATTCATATACTTTGAAATACTTATTTAAAAATAATCATTGGGCATTATCCCATTCGCGCAAAACGCGTAAAAAAACTAGTTATAGGATAATTGTAGTATCCACCCCTAAGTGTTGGTCTTGCTTACTTTTTGCCTTTAAGCTATTATTGGAATTCTACTTTTTGTCCTTTTATTAACTTCTCGTGCTCACTTTTCGTCCTTAAACAAACTTCACGTGCTCACTTCTCGTCGCTAATGTTTTGTTAGTAAAGGGACAGAATGTGCAATGCCCAATGATAGCTTAAGAACGAAAATTGAAGAAGACTAACACTTAGAGACAAATTCTACAATTATCATATAATATAGGACGAAAAGTGCAATTTTATCAACCAAAAAAAATTTAAAAATAAAATAAAAATTATGGCCAGGTCCAACCAAACTAGGGGTAACCGCGGTTCGGTTCCGGTTCCGCAAATGGACCGGTTCCGGTTCTAACCGAATGTATTTTTAAAAAAATAAATAAAATAAGTTATAATTTTTAACTTTTTCGGTTTAGAATCGGAACCGCCGGTTCCGGTTCCTTTTCACCTCGAACCTTAACCTGAACCTTATAGGTACAGGTTCGGAACCAGAATCGAAACCGTACGGACGATTCCAGTTCGGTTCCGGTTAGCACAGTAACGGTTTCGGTTCGAACCGTAGAACCGAACCGTGGTCAACCCCAACCCAAACGCAATCTGTGCCCAACCCTAGTTGATATGAATCTCCAGCACCTTGATGTTTGAATGGTAGAAGAATCTCACAAAAGAAGCCCCGGACACTTCACGATTAGCAAAACCAAATTATGTCTGCAGTATTAAGGATTAGTATTATTAGGGGTTATTATTGTTTATTTCTCTTGTGTTTAAATTCTATGGCTCACCTTATTATTCTCCTTTATTAGCTTGCACATAGATAGCTAGTTGTTAGCATATTTCTTCATGTATATAAAGGGTTGTAAAGTATGAATAGAATGATCAGTTTTCACTTCCATTATACTTCTATATGGTATCAAGAGCAAGAAATTTCTAGCGAAATCTATTTCCTATATTTTTTTTCTGGGTTTTATTCTTCTGTCCATTCATGGCCACTAGTACCAATACTTCACCCATTATTCAATTAACTGCACTTGCGAATTTTCCCATCAGACTCACAACCTCAAATTATTCAGTTTGGCGAAAACAAATCCAATCCGCATTGATTGGTCTTGCCCTTGAAGGTTACATTGATGGCACAACAAAGGCATCGGCAAAATATTCTGATACTACTCAGACCACTGTGAATCCAGCCTATCTTGCTTGGTACAGGCAAGATCATGTTATTTTGAATGCCATCCTCGGTAGTTGCACCGACTCTATTCAACCAACTATTTCTTCTGCTTTGACACCAAAAGCAGCTTGGGATCGTTTGAAGGAAAGCTTTGCTAGCCCATGTCGCACTCGGATTGTTTCGCTAAAGTCAAAATTAGCGTCCAATCCGATTAATGGTCGTTCCATTGAAGAGTTTTTGGATGATATGTTTGCTATCTCTGATGCACTTGTCCTTGCGCAAAGTCCAGTAAGTGAGGAAGATTTAGTTGTGACCGCCTTAGCACAATTGGGAGATGAGTTTGAACCCATTGTTGAAGCCATTTGTGTCCGTCCGGAACCTATTACGTTCTCTGAACTCAAAAATGTATTAATCGCTTTTGAGCATAAGCAAAAGAAAAAATTTGATGCACAACATTCTCTCCTTGCTACAGCAAATGCCACCCAGAAATCCTCTAATCGACAATATCAGCCCAACCGCAACTCTAGTGGTCGAAACTCCAACAATCAACATGTTGGGATAAACAGTTCTCGCCCTACTCAATCTTTTACTAATACAAATAAATTTGGTCGTAAAAATGTCACATGCAGGTTCTGTAATATTTATGGTCATGAAGTGCGAGACTGTCGGAAGCTTATGCGGTTTCTTCGTGATAATAATGTTAACATGAACAACTTTGGGCAACAGCCGGCCGTGATCAATGCTATAGCATCACCGCATACTGGTTCGCAACAATGGTTGTTTGATTCTGGTGCCTCGCACCATGCTGCTTCATCACCCTCATTATTGCAGTCAGTCTCTGATTATGGTGGGCCTGACGAGATCCAACTTGGTGACGGTAAAACTCTTCAAATTACTCACACCGGTCACACTGCTATCCCTACACCAACTTGTCATTTACAACTCTCTAATGTTCTTTGTGTCCCGAAGTTACAAAAAAAATTGATTTCTATTTCCAAGTTGTGCAAAACTAATAATGTGTCAGTTGAGTTTTTTTATTCCTGTTTTCTTGTGAAGGATCGACTCACGGGGACGCCACTAATGCAAGGGAGGAACGTGCATAATGTTTACGGGGCTTGGCTACCTTCGTCTCCTCAGATAAATATGATCACTAAACCCTCTTTATCGTCTTGGCATCACATTTTTTGTCATCCTTCCAACAGAGCTTTCAGTGCCTTACTCAGACATAATAATGTTCCCACTACCTCACTTTCCAATTTTTATTGCTCGTCCTGTTTATTAAATAAGTCTCACAAATTGCCTTTTGCTCATAACACTTTATCTAGTAATAATCCGCTTGAATTGCTTTACACTGATGTTTGGAGTATATCTGAAAAATCCATTGAAGGTTATTACTATTATATTATTTTTGTTGATCATTTTACAAAATATATTTGATTTTATCCCTTAAAGAAAAAGTCTGATGTCTATGATGTGTTTGTGCAATTCAAGACACTAGTTGAAAATCGCCTTAACCGGAAAATTATTACTGTGTTTTCTGACAATGGTGGGGAATTTGTTAAATTGACACCTTTCTACAGTTCCTGTGGAATTTCACATCTTACGAGTCCTCCACACACACCAGAACATAACGGGCTAGCTGAACGACGCCATAGACATATTGTAGAAACGGGGTTGTCGTTACTCGATTTTGCGTCTATGCCCCGTAGATATTGGTCTTATTCATTTCAGACAGCAGTTTATCTTATAAACCGAATGCCAACAATAAATCTCATGCATAAATCACCCTTTGAACTTCTATTTGGAATGACACCAAATTACAAAAAATTAAAACCTTTTGGGTGTTTATGTTTCCCTTGGCTCAAGCCATACACCAACACTAAACTCCAGCAAAAATCAATATCTTGTGTTTTTTTAGGATACTCTTTGTCCCAGTCAGGTTATAAATGTCTTGATCCAAAAACAAGTCGGGTCTATATATCTCGTCATGTGCGGTTTATTAATCATGTGTTTCCGTACAGCCAAGCACGTACAACTCCAGTCGTACCTCCCACTGTAAGTGCGTCCTATCACTCCTCAGATACTGTTAATTTTAATTCTTGTCAACAACCTATTTTTCCATATGCAGTGGCTAATTCGCAGATTCTGTCTTCTGCTAACTCCGACCAACCAGTCGAACGTCTCCATCCGTTACAACCTGCTTCCACTGCTCCAATCACACAGAGTACTCCCACCAACCAGCCACCACCTCCCACCGCTCAGCTGTCACAACCTTCCACCGACCATCTGCCACTTTCTTCTACTGTCTAGCCACAACCTGCGGAGTCTACTGTCCAGCCGCAACCTGCGGATTCTACTGCCCAGCCATCACCTGCAGCGTCCACCACCCAACCATCATCGGTTTCCACCGCCCAGCCACCTCTTACAGTTGAGCCACCACCTACTTCTATCGATACGCAGGTTCGGCGATCAACGAGAGTACGAAAACCAAACCCAAAGTACTTTGACTATAAAACCATTAACTTTGCCACTAATCACCCGATTCCAGAACCGGTTGAGCCTACCTGTGTCACCCAAGCCAAGAAGGATCCTCGTTGGTAACAAGCCATGGATGATGAGTTTGCTGCACTTCTCAAAAATGGGATGTGGGAACTGGTACCACCACTGAAGCGACCTCCGATTGGTTGCAAATGGGTCTTTAGAGTTAAACGAAAACCAGATGGAATAGTTGATAAATCCAAGGCTCGCCTGGTTGCTAAAGGATACCTACAAGAACCTGGGAGGGACTACTTTGATACTTTCAGTCCCGTGGCAAAGCCAGCTACGATACGTATTATCCTTACCTTGGCGTTGGCCTACAATTGGTCCCTACGGCAGTTGGATGTTAATAATGTTTTTTTGCATGGCACCTTGTCTGAAGAGGTTTATATGAAGCAGCCACCGGGGTATTGTGATCCCAAATATCCTACCTTTGTCTGTCGCCTTAAAAAGGCTCTGTACGGTCTTAAGCAGGCGCCTCGGGCGTGGTATATGGAGCTCTCCAAATATTTGATTGAATTTGGTTTCCGCAAATTCCGTGCAGATTATTCTCTGTTCATTTATCAGTCTAATGATGTCTTAATTTATTTTATGGTGTATGTAGATGACATTGTAGTCACAGGAAATTCTAATGAACTGTTGGATCATTTTGTTTCCTGCTTAGCGCAGCGATTTTCAGTTAAAGACTTAGGGGCGTTACATCATTTTCTTGGCGTTGAGGTAATTCCCGCTGCGAATGGCTTGTTCTTGTCTCAATCACAGTATATTATTGATATCTTGAAAGAGGTTGACATGCATGAAGCCAAGAGTGTGCATACGCCTATTGGGTCTTCGGTTGACTTATTCCGTCCGAAGGATCATACTGCTGCTTCTACTGATGCTACGGTATATCGAAGGGTAATTGGTCTTTTACAATATCTTTCAATTACTCGTCCTGATATCGGCTATGTTATAAATCGCCTTTCACAATTTATGCACAATCCTCTATTAATTCATTGGCAAGCGGTCAAACGAGTGTTACGGTACTTAAAGGGAACTGTGTTTCATGGGTTGCTTCTACGCCGTAGTACTCGGTTACATCTTGCTGCTTTCTCAGATTCAGATTGGGGTGGTGTTCATGATGGTGGTCGGTCTACGACTGGTTATGTTTTATTCTTGGGGTCCAATGTAATTTCTTGGCGCTCGGTTCGACAGAAGGCAGTAGCTCATTCTTCTACGGAAGCAGAATATCGGGCTTTAGCAAATGCGGCGGCTGAGGTTATATGGGTTCACAATTTATTGCAGGATATGGGGGTTGTTCTACCTCAATCTCCGGTGTTGCATTGTGACAATTTGAGTGCTACATATGTCTGCCAAAATCCGGTGTATCATTCGAGGATGAAGCATCTTGCGTTGGACTACTTCTTTGTTCGGGATCATATTGTAAATGGTACACTTCGTGTGCAACATGTTCCGACTACTTCCCAAATTGCTGATATTCTCACAAAGGGCTTGGGAAGACGATCGTTTGAGCATTTTCCTACCAAGATGGGAATCACTGACGGCTCCTCCATCTTGCGGGGGCGTATTAAGGATTAGTATTATTAGGGGTTATTATTGTTTATTTCTCTTGTGTTTAAATTCTATGGCTCACCTTATTATTCTCCTTTATTAGCTTGCACATAGATAGCTAATTGTTAGCATATTTCTTCATGTATATAAAGGGTTGTAAAGTATGAATAGAATGATCTGTTTTCACTTCCATTATACTTCTATACGCAGCTTGCTGGTTTGTACTGATTTTGGTAAGTATTGTTTTTGGGATTTTGGCTTTATGGGCAAAAGGGAAACAAAAGAAAGGATAGTAGCCTTAGTCACAAAGGCCTGGACAAAATAAATTGAGCTTGGACACCACATAATCACTGATAAGGTCCACACTCAGCATAACTCATTATAACTCGTGAGTTGGAGAAAACACATGACTTCCAATTTTCATCAATCAACCAACTGAAATGTACAAATCTCAACCTATTTATAGCTATTTCCTAAGCTATTAATATGAAAATGGGTAATTAAAAGTAGGGAAATGTGGAGAACATGGAAGCACATTTCCTACAAAGTAGCTAGAATAGTGGATAACCACTAACTGTGTAGAGATAAAGTCTCCATTTAGATTTAACCCACTCATAATCTTACTAGGTGCACAAAAACAAATAAATGACTAATTCAATGTCTTAAAATAATGAAAACATCCAAAAAAAAATATAAGACTTAGTCGGTCCAAATAGGTAATGCTACGAACAAGACCATTTGTCACCCTTTTCTTGCGTACTGACTGTGTGGTGTATCCTAAGATCAATTTAATGGATTAATAGCATCCAATTAAATTAACTAAGGATTTTTCTTCCATTTCATTTAATGTAGTAATGGCCTTCAAATGCAATGTTAAGCAATTTGTCAAGCACATGCCTTAAATTCTTAACACTAATTTACACTCAAAGTATTAGGACTCTATGTATTTGAGTTAGAATATGATTCCTTATCCCAGTCTCCCAGAGTCTCTCTCTTTATATATACCTGTAATTTGTACATTTGTGATTACATTACATTCAATACAATTATTACTGTTCTCATCTGGTATCAGTTAGCTAGGGTTTGGACGATACAATGCCGCAAGATCCGTACAATTCTTCTGCGGCATGAAATTGGCGTGACTGGTGTGTCTACTCCCAAGCACCAAATCCTATTTTTCATGCTCGGACTAAGCATGTAGAAATTGATTATCAGTTTGTTAGGGACAGAATTGCAAATAGAGATATACAGGTATATTTTATTTCGACTAAGGATCAACTGGCAGATATCTTTACCCACCTGTCCCTAGATTTTCTTTTGTTAGATACAAGCTACAATTCTTTTGTTAGAGACAAGCTACAAGTCTTTACGAAAGCTCCACCTGTTCTTTTCTTAAAGACAAGCTACAAGTCACTACTGTACCTTGTGCTTGATGGGGAGTATTAGGATTGTATTTGAGTTAGATTATAATTCCTTATCCCAGTCTCCCTAAGTCTCTCTCTTTATATATATTTGTAATTTGTACATTTGTGATTACATTACATTCAATACAATTACCTACTGTTCTCATGTACAGAATGCATATTTCGTTTAAGCTCATTTTGGCAATTCCCTAACGAGCATTCCTTTATTCAAAGAAAAATGTTCTTTTCAAAGTCCAAACAGTCAAAAATCCCAATCAACAGATTAGATCTTTTCGCAGCACAAATAATTCACAGCATTCATGTATATTACCAAATGACTTAATCACAGATTCAGAGGGCTCGACAACAACAATGACAACAATAACAATAATCAAAGGAAGATATTGAAGAATGAGAAACTGCAAGTGAAATGATAGATTAATCATATCTAAGACCAAGTTAATTAACTAGATAGTATTGTCTTCATCATCTGAATAAGTAACGTTGGAAAGGGGATGTCTGAAATGAAAGGGCTAGCACAACCTTATCATTAAACAAACAACATTACAGCTATAACTCTTAATATGTAAACAACAAAAAGATCATAGAGCTCAGCGTTTTCCACCACCTCCACCAAGCTTAGGACCTTTTGTTGGTGCAGCGCCCTTGGGAATGTTACCCTTCCCTGCCTTCTGCGACTTGGCCATCACCTCTGCCTTCTTGGACTTCTTTTCATCTTTTGTCTTCTTGATCCTTTCCTTAATTTCACTGAACAAATAGAACAGAGCACAAAAGCCAATTAATTGCATTGTGCACTCACCCCACAAAAAGCATCAAAACAGATAAAAAGCTGTTATCTGGTTTTCAAAAGCAGAATGGCAAGCAGCTAGGAATTAGGATAAACGCACCGGAGAGCAGCCTCCCTTGCAGCATCTCGGACTTCTGGTTTTTCACTTCTTTTCTTCTGGATTACCTCCAAGGTTGCACCAACAATAGATCTAGAGTAAGGCTTCTTTGCGGTCCTTCTCCTCTTCTTAACAGCCTCTTGTGCAAGATCCTAGAAATGCCAAAACAAAAGATGTTTATGAAGAAGTAGATTTAAAAGAAATTTACTATCAAAGTTTAAAACATCAAATGCTAGTCTTCAAGAAAGAAATTCATTAAGATTACAGAAGAGTGCATCCAAGAGGATTAAACTTAAAATCAGGCAAGTGATTAATAATGTCATCTATGTGGTCTTCAACAGAAGAAAAAATACTTCAGGTACAGACAGCTCTGTCCAGCACAAGGTTCCTCAGTTCTTACCTTCTTGTGCTGTTTCCTGTACACAGCAGTCCAAGTAAGCTTGGAAGGTTTCAAACGGTTGTGAAAATACCTCTTGCATTTTGAATTGGCAAACAAGAAAACCTAAAACAATAAATAAAAAGTTAGAATGCAACTAAAATTCACACACATTTATTCCCAAAAAAGCACCATCAAAAGACTGCATAAGATTATTAAAGAATACCTGAGAATCTGCACGGACAAATCTAATGCCCTTCCCAGGATATATCTTGGCACCACTGAAACGGCAGAGTTCTGTCCTGAAATTACAGCAAGTTGACATTAATGCCTAGATAATACAAACATATCTAGAGTTCAGGGATAACCAAAATAATTTTACCAGTTAACCAAGAAAAGCTAGAGCTAGTTCCTAAACCATAAAAAAATATAAATACTTCCTTAACAAAAACAATATAAATGCTCAAAAATAGTCCATGATCATTGAATACAGTACTGTATCTGATATCTTTCCTAGTCACATTACAGACAAAAAATTCAATAACAAATCAGAATAATTTGCTATAATTGTGGCTTAACCTCTGAAGCAATCCAAGGTTAATCTAAAGCATGATGAGAGCAGCTTATAAGGAACAAAGCAGAAGATATCAGATAAAGTCAGGTGAACTTGCTGTAATTCATTAAGCAATCGGTTCCAAAACAACTTGCTACAAAGACACTTTTAAAGTTTACTTAATCATATTATTAGAACTTACAGAACCATCAAGCAGCTCCTTTAAGCATTTCAAGGCACGAGATACAAATTGTAAGCTTAGTCAGCTTAACATTTCTTGGCAAATAAATGCTTCTTCAACATGACTTGTGTAAAACTACAGAGCTTGCTCATGGAAAAGGCATCAGTTCTGATTTATTTATATCTATAAAACTAATCAGCCAATAGACATTTTAAGACTACTTTAGAAGAACCCTACAACTAATTAGTTCAGGGAGCTGAGGGTGCAGCTAGCCTATAACGGAGTCAACACAACACCGTATACAACATCAAAAGATTCCTCAACTAGATCCTCCATTAATCTCCTAAATAATCTGTCATCCATTTTCCACAAATCAAAAAAAGTTCACAAGGAAAACACAAAACTAATACACAGCAGAACACTTGACAAATCAAGAATAGGGAAACACAAGCAACAAAGGATAAACAAATATCAGTAATTAGAGAAGAAAGCGAAAAGGTGAAGAAGATTACTTGAGAACCATGGCTGCTGAGAGCTGTGTTGGCGGTGTTGCTGTACCTCTGGGAGAGAAAAACCCTAATCATAAATTCTTTTTATGATACCGGACCAAGGTTGAAACCGTGCTTATTTTGGAGAAGAATTACGTACAAACCAGTCTTACCGGTTAGTGGGCTCCGATAATAGGTCCATTAAAAGTCCATTATACCCGATCGTTATATTGTGATGTGCACCAGAATTGTCAATCGTTATGCCATGGAACCGTGTTCACCATCCATGGTGAATACGGCAAATTATATTATGCACCGCGCGTCTTTTTTTTAAATGAAAATAAACAATGTTTGTTTCCGCCGTTTCGCACCCTTTTGCAAAAAGTAACTCTGTTATTCAGTGTCATTTTGTATACACTGCAGTTTCAGTTCAACACAACTACAGTTTCATTTCGATATAACTATAGTTTCATTCGATATTTATAGACTCAAATATGTGAAAATGTTATTTAACTTTATTTTATATACACTATAGTTTCATTAAAACACAACTACATGATCATTTTGATATAATTATAGCTTCATTGTACAATATACACTCAAATATGTGAAATGTTATTCAGTTTCATTTCACTATAACTACAGTATCATTTTGATATAACTGCAGTGTCGGTTTAGATATACTATAGTGTCAGTTGGTGTTTAATACACCAAACAAGCGAACTCCGTTAACTCTAACGGCGGGGCCGTTTCTTTACTTAAAGAAACGGCGCCGTTTTTTACCGCGGTGCAGTGCACCGTGGTCTATAATATAACGACTGGGTGAATACAGTCCCAACGGTGTTAGTGCACCTTTATCTTCTTTTTTTTTCCTTAATTAATCGCGTGATTTTTCTTCTTCATTTTCACATTTCGCGGTTTCACTTTAATTTGAGGTGAGCAATAATTTTGGACATTCATAAATTATGAATCAATGCCAGTACATTCACTTTGGAACCATGCCTACACATTCCCGTCCGAAACCATGGCTGCTCCTTTGTAGCGCAAGCTTCTTCAACATTCATAAATTATGAATTTTGTCAATTTTCTGTTATGAAATTATGAATTTTCTATAATGAGATTATGAATTTTCGGTTATGAAATTATGAATTTTCTGTTATGAGATTATGAATTTTCTGTTATGAGATTATGAATTTACAGTAAATTCATAATCTCATAACAGAAAATTCATAATTTAATAAATGTTTTTCTTTTATGCGATTATGAATTTTCTGTTATGACATTACGAATTTACAGTACATTCATAATCTCATAACAGAAAATTCATAATCTGACCAAACGCGCGCCGTTAACACCACATTAGCGATTTTTTTTTTTTACATAAAAACGGCGCTGTTTGGACCCGTGTTCACCATGAATGGTGAACACGTTTCCAGGGCATAATTTACCCAGAATTGTGCGCCCCGCCTTGTCCAAAACGACATCGTTTTATTAAGTTGTGTGTAAAGTTGACGCAACGAAGTTTATGTGTATTTTATTACTAGTTTTACACGCGTATTGCGTAAATGTGTTAATGTCCAATGTTTATAATTAAATAAATATTTTAAAGTATATCAATACAAGATTATATATGAGAAGTTCATACATAAGTAATTTAATGTCAAATTTGTTCATTTAAATATGTAACTCATAGTATATGAATACAAGATAATATAGGACATTCATTATAATTGTCACTAAACTTTTTTTAAAATAGAGTATTATCCCAAAATTGCTCTCATTGCAAAGATAGAGATGGATCGAAAATACCTTAGATGTCACGTGAAACCCTTAGTCCCAAATCCTCGGCAAATTATGATGTGGACTTGTGTCCACAATGTCCACAATGCATTGTGGACACGAGTCCAAAACACCGTCGTTTTAAGGGAAAACGCGGGCCTTCCAGTTAAAAAAAAAATGATTTTGTCTCGCCGTTAACGCCGTTAACGGCGTTATTCGTTTGTGGCATTATGAATGCACAGTTATGGAATTATGAATGTACAGTTATCCAATTATGAATGTACAGTTATGGAATTATGAATGTAAGTTATGGAATTATGAACACAGAGCTTTGACATTATGAACTTACAATTATGAACATATAGTGATAAAATTATGAACATAGAGCTCTAAAATTGTGAACATAGAGTTTCGAAAATTATGAATTTACTGTTATTAAATTATGAATGTACAGTTACAGAATTATGAATGTACAGTTATGCAATTATGAATGTACAGTTATGCAATTATGAACATATACTCCTATAACAAAGTGGTCTGAAATTTATTTAAAAAAAAAAAGAAAGTGGAAGAGAACGGTGCCACTAGGGAAAATCCAAATTGATTTCCCCAAATATTTTCTAAGGATGGATTTAATTCGGCAAATTATATCATGCACCACGGTGCATGATCAATCATGCACCGCGCGCCTTTTTTTTTAAATGAAAATAAACAGTGTTTGTTTTCCGCCGTTTCGTACCCTTTTGCAAAAAGTAACCCTGTTCTTCAGTGTCATTTTGTACACACTGCAGTTTCAGTTTAACACAACTACAGTTTCATTTCGATATAACTATAGTTTCATTCGATATTTATAGATTCAAATATGTGAAAATGTTATTTAATTTTATTTTATATACACTATAGTTTCATTAAAACACAACTACATGATCATTTTGATATAATTACAGCTTCATTGTACAATATACACTCAAATATGTGAAATGTTATTCAGTTTCATTTTATATACATTGCAGTCTCATTTCACTATAACTACAGTATCATTATGATATAACTGGAGTGTCGGTTTAGATATACTGTAGTGTCAGTTGGTGTTTAATACACCAAACAAGCGGACTCCGTTAACTATAACGGCAGGCCGTTTCTTTACATAAAGAAACGGCGCCGTTTTTTGTGCACCGCGGTCTATGATATAACGACCCATTTAATTCTCCTACTTACCTTTTAACCTTTTATGACTTTTGCCTTAAATCTAGTTAAGGGATTTATTTTGGCCCAATCCCTTAACCTTTAAATGAAATCATTTGGTTGGACCATTCTTTATTACCTTGTTGGACCTTATAAACTTAAAATTATATATTGTTCTTAGCCCATTCAATAAAGGTAATAGGCCCACACTTTAGACTAACTAACTTATGGCCCAAGTCTTATTCTACAACCTAATACACTCACCCTTGAACTTCCACCACTTAGCTAGCATCACTCTCAAACTTTTCAGCTCACTCCCTCTCTACTCCACACGCCATTTCCACCCTTTTACCCTACTAAGAGTGTTCTTCATTTCCCAACCAAGAAGACTAAGCAAGTTTCAATCTTTCATACTCACCAAACATAGGAAGGGTAAGGGATAGATGTTTATAGTCTTTATCTATGGTTTCCCTTCTTCATCATCTAAGTTTTACTCTTTGTGTTTGGGTTTGGGGTCTTTGTTGAAGATCATGTGGATGAGGACATGCTAGGGTGATATTGATGTTGATTGCATAACCTTGATGAGAACTGTAACAACCCTAAAATTTTAAACTTTTAAAGCTTATGGAATAAAGGCAAATCTAATATTAATTCCCGAACAGAGCATAAACTAAACATGATAGTCGGGGTGCTATGTCACACCTGAGCTAGAGAACTCAGATGCACAGGCTAAACTATCTAACAAAGCGTAACTAATATCCAACTATAAATCAAGGCACGCAGCCCATCTCATCAAAGTTAGAACTATCTAAACTAAGTCCACGAATCAAACTAGCGCGCTCTGAAGCTACTCAATTGTTCCTGAAAAACATTCGGTGTAACAACCGTCAGCGAATAATGCTGGTAACCTACTCCAATGCGTTAAGTACAATATAGGTAGATATAAGAAAATCATTTTGAAACCGGAATACATATATAACCTACAAGACTCTAATTTAAATCCAAGATCAAGACTCAAGACACGATAATAGACTTGACAATATAGAACAATCATAAAGACTAGCATGCATCCTAGAAACACAATACAAGACATAATAGACAAATAATAACAAATAGAGACAACAATGGGATTCAAAGACAACCAATTAGCAAGTAGTCATCAAGGCACACAATCCATCTTCCAACCTTATACCAAGTTCCAACCTTGTAGCTCCCCTCCGTCCTTATATCAGTTCCAACCTATACCTCCAGGCCACCCTTATATCGCCTCCCTTATTCCTCCGGGCAACTACATGCCCCCACCGACAAACCACCTATCAACCACCAACATAGCAAGATAGCGTCGCAGTGCCCTTCGCATGATCCGTACCTCTAGTACCAATACCAAGGGGTCAGCGTATATAGCCCTGACATGACACCGCAGCACTTATAACCTGACCCATGCTCAATGGCAAGCTAGTCGAATGTGAGTTTGTGCCTTTAGCACAGTAACCGCTATGCCGGTACCTTTAGTACAATGACCGGGCACTCATTGTGCCAACCGCCAACAATTCATTTCCACCAATCACAATCTCATCATCATCATCATCATCATCAGTCACATCGGCCATTGCGCAATGATCACGATACTCATCATCATTCAATCAATCAACACATAATCAATCAATATCAATCGAGGCATAACAATAACGGCATGTACTACACATAAATTCCTAGAACGGTATTCGAAACATCAAACGAGACTTATATACAACAAACGGGGTACATCGGGACACAACGAGACACGGGGAAACAACAAACGGGGTACATCGGGACACAACGGGACACGGGAAAACAACAAACGGGGAAAAACATCACGACCCAGGATTCCTAATTAGAATCTGAGTAGTAAATGCCCACTTTCTTTATTCCTAATAGACTTAAAGTCCTTATTATAAACAAGGGTCCATGGTCCTCCGTGGACCACATTATTTAATTGAGGGATCCTGACCAGATTAAACCCTTTTCAACTATTCTTTAACGGAATTAATTAAATAATTAATCTGGGATTAAAGGGGGTAACACGGGGTGTTACACAACGAATCACAAAGTCGGACCTTAAACATGATTCAAGACTCATAAATCCTATCATGGTTACTTAGGACATCGTTCTAGACATACGAAACA